GTGTAAATTTTTAGAAGTAGAAGTGCTAGGTCGTATAATAATTCTGTTTTAACGTTTTGAGGAATCACCAAACTGTTTTCCACGGTGGCTACACCATCTTATATTCTCACCAGAAATTTATGAGGATTGCTATTTTTCTACATCCTCAGCAGCACTTGTTATTTTATACTTTTTAAAATTATAGCCATCCTACTGGGTATAAAGTGGTATCTAGCTTTGGTTTTGATTTGTGTGTACTTAATGTCTGATGATTTTGAACTTCTCATGTACTTCTTTGCCATTTCTGTATTTTCTTTGAAGAAATATACATTCAGGTCCCTTGATCATCTTAAAATTAGATTATGTGTCTTTGTTGGTGAGTTGTATATATTCTGGATACCAAACCTTTATCAAGTATATAACTTCAGCTGTTTTTGCCCACTCTCTAGGTTGTATTTTTAACTTTTTTTTTTGAGATGGAGTGTCGCTCTGTTGCCCAGCTGGAGTGCAGTGACGCAATCTCGGCTCACTGCAACCCCCACTGAATTTGAATATAATTTTATAGTTTTTGAATAGTCCTGACTTTTGGAGCTATCTTAATATTTCAAATCCTCAAGAAAGCAAAATGAACAAAGATGGAGGGGGAAGATTCTAAAAATGAATACAAATAGAACAAATAACCTTTACCATAATAACAACCACACTGAAAGGTGTAAAAGTACTAACCGAAGTAACTTTGGAGCTCAGTACGTGAGCTGTGAAACAAGTGGGGTCAGGGAGAAGTTTGATAAAGAACACAATATTTACCCAGTCTCAAAATGTCTCCTTTCAAGAAATCTACTATTTACAGGGTAAAGTAGAAACTTTATGGATACCACCTTAACAAATGACAAAAGCAAGCACTGCAAGTTACGGAGCTAATTGCCGTTCTGTGCCTTCTGATATGCAGTTAAAATAACTCAGCATCACTTCTGTAGTATTCTTGCCAGAAGTGTCTAGTCTGAATCTACCCATGAGGAAATATAAGACAGGTTCAAATTGAGTTATATTCTTTAAAATAAGTATCCTGTACTCTGCAAAGAAAAAAAGAAAAAAAGTCAGTATCATGAAATAGAAATGACTGAGAAACTGTTATAGCTTAAAGTAGACTAAAGAAACATGACAGGTGGCTGCAGTGCATGATCTTAGAATTTCTTTTGGCATAAAGGATGTTTTTGAGACACATGTTAAATCTTAATTAGTTCTGTGGATTAGAACATAGATGATAGTATCAGTTGTTAATCTTATGCTTCAGAACATTGTACTATACTGTAGTTGCATAATTGGTTTATTTGGGGGAAATACACACTGAAATATTAAAGAGTAAAGGACTGTCATGCCTGCAGCTAACACTTATTCAGAAAAAATGCATGTGTATATGAAGAGCGAAAGAAGGATAGAACAGATATAAAATGTTTATATCTGAAGAATTTGGGTGGAAGGTATTTAGAAGTTCTTTGTACTTTG